TCCTTCTCTATTCTCAAAAGCCTCCCTGTCTCGTCTCTTCATTTGTCTCAATAACATTATTGACCATTTTCTGCCCTCAAAGAGCACCTGGTTTAAGTTTATCATTCACTCATTAGATTCTCCTCATTTTCAATCAGGAAGAAAGAGGATACGAGGTCTTCCCCAGCTTGCAGAATGGTCATTCTGAAACATACCTTGCAAGTGGGCTAGCCCAGAAACAGCTCCGCCTAAGTTTAGCTATGAGAAGGGACAACAACAATGCTGTGCCTGACTCACAGGGTAGCAGTGACTACCAAGTGACATATGAGTTAATACCTAAATATATGCAATACAGGTTGGTATCGTGTGCTAGAATTAGGTGGGAAAAAATACTTCTAAACTTCCATTTAGAAAAAGACTCTATATATTTCAACATACCTAGAACAATCCCAGAGGCCCCACAAGAAGCAAAACACAGAAGTAAGCTGGGGATCCCGAGGGGCCACTATGAATTCAAATCAAGCTCAGTGCTGTAGTTCTCACTCTAAAACTCACGTGGACAGAACTCATTACCTTGTCTTTTTAAAGCAGAACAGGTATAAAAACTCTAAGAGCAAAGAAATAGGCAGGATAAACATTCTACCTGAATTGCGAATGAGAGGCTATTTTCAGTCCAACACTTACAGGTGATACTATAGAATACCCTGTAAATGGAATTAAGAAAGTTTTATTTTGAATCCTCATTAAGTTGGAGAGTGGAAAAAGACTAAACACCTAGAGAGGATCTGAAGTTTCAAATGATTGTTTTTGAGGCAGTAAAAATAAAAGTTTCAAGTAGTCATCTAATTATAGCAGAAAAACAAGGTACCTGTGAGTTTGATTTTGGACAGTCGGGCCAAAATTCCTGGCAAATCATCCATGTGCAGCTTCATCTCTTTCCATTGCTTCTCCTCTTTCGTCTCTTTTCCCAATTCCATTGTGCCTTCAACTATGGAGGCAGAATCTAGTGCTATCAGTTCCTTTTCATTCGGCTTTCTGGGCAAAGACAGGCTTTGGGGTGGAAGAGGTCTTATCTCATAGATTTCTTCTTTGGCTTGATGTGAAGATGTTTTCTCAAGGAAAGGAGTTGCTGCTGGTTCTGGCTTCGGTTTTACTTGCTGGTTGAGGCTTCTGTTCAGTTGTGTGACATACTAAACAAAAAAACACATCTTACTATCGAACTAAGGCCCACCTATGTGCAGAGGAGCCCACAGGTGAGACGCAGTGCTCCACAGGCTAAGGGACCACGTGGGATGCCCGGGTTCAATTCCCAGTCCAACCTACGGACTGGGTGTGGTGGTGTGTACCTTTAATCCCCTCAGTTTGGGAGGCTGAGGCAGGAGGTTCATAAACTCAAGACTGGCCTACCTATAAGAGTCAGCCAGATATGGTGGCAGGAGCTTGTAAATCCCACCTGGGAGGCTAAGGCAGGATTACAACAGTGAAAGCCTGTCTTAAAAACAACACAGAACAACAACGACAACAAAACAAAGGCCCCAAATTCTCATAAATGGTCGTTTGGATGTTTAGCAACATCTCCTATCACCCTGCCTTTCATAGTATTTGAAAGATTTTCATATAACTTTAGTATTAGTTAATTTGGCACATATTTAAAGTGCATGTTACATGAAAATCATTATAACTAAGAGACTCGGAGAACAAAACTAATGCCTCCATGACTACTTTAAAATTCTGTGGTTCAGAAACTCTATGAATATCAATTCTTTGAAAGAAAGATGAATTTATTTCTTATTCATCTCCTCCAGAATTTCCCAACATCATACAAGAATCTGGAAATGTAACATTCCAAATACAATGAAAAGTTCATATAATCAAGAGCCCAAGTCAATCTACTGACTTTCCATGTTCTCAGGCAAATAGGGAAGAGAAGCTCAAGGAAGGCATAATCTAGGCCGAGAAGATGTTACATCCAGATGGTATGAGGAATAACACTTGGCTTTAAAGTCAGATATTCTCTATCACTTACTGGCAAAAATAAATGATTCTTACTTAATGAGACATTTTATAGTCTTCAACATACACTTTTATATTGGGGCATCGAAAAAGTCATGATGTGTTTTTCTATGCAAAAATGCATCAAGACTTTTTCTGACGACCTGATAGTTTACATAATATATCTCTCAGTTAATCTCAACAGTTGTTCAACATTCTGGGCCATTATTAGTATCTGGTTCTTTCTTTAATTTACAGATGAGAAAAGCAAGCCTCAGAAATAAACTGACTTAACCAAGAGTCAAAATCTGGTTATAGGTGGCCCTGGGACATGGAGCCACCTATGATGATAACTAGTTAAGTGCCTTTTATACCACAAAGTCTTTTTTTTTTTAAGAGGTTTTTTGCTATAGGGCACGTGCGCTCACCGGACCGAAAGAGAGAGAGACACAGAGACAGAAAGCGAGAAATCACCCCCCAGGGGAGATGGCCACGCCACAATCCCTTCTCCTCCATTCTCCTCTCAGGATCTTGGGCACGAACGCACAAGCGCCCGGCTTGAGTTTTAAGCCACCAGGTCCGGGACGCAAACCGCAGTCGACTACGTGGGAGTCCAGCAACATAGCCATTACGCTAACTGCTGGTCCCCGTACCATAAAGTCTTGAGATCACATATACTAGTCTTAAAAACAATTACAAACTCGTGAGTGGTTTGAGTTCTATTTACATAAAAAAGGCATTATACATATTGAATCTTCTCATCTAAATATGCATTATCCTTGACTTGTAATTTAAACAGTCTAAACATTTCTAGAAATTTAAATCTTTTATCAAAAGACTGCTTTTATTAAGATTTTAAATTGGTTTTCAGCTTTAAGTTAGAGGTATTAAGGTAATTAATTTTTCAGTTAGACATATTTTGGTAAAAAATGAGAGAAATATCAAATACGACTTCTTTCATGCTTCATTTTAATGACGAGTTTTGAGGTACTGTTGCACCATTCTATGACCCTTTTCTATCTGAGAAAATGCAAATGCCCTCATGAATAATCAAGAATAAGTTACCATGTTGCCCACAATATCATGGAGTCAACTTAGTTTTTTTTTTAAAAAAATAAAATAGGGAACCAGCAGTTAGCGTAATGGCTATGTCACTGGACTACCACGTAGTCGACTGCGGTTCGTGTCCCGGACCCGGTGGCTTAAAACTCATGCTGGGCGCGTGTGCGTGCATGCCCAAGATCCCGGGAGGAGAATGGAGGAGAAGGGATTGCGGCGTGACCATCCCCCCTGGGGGGTGATTTCTCGCTTTCTGTCTCTATGTCTCTCTCTGTCTGTCTGGCGAGCGCACGCGCCCTATAGTGAAAACAAACAAACAAACAAACAAACAAACAAAAAAACCTCTCTAAAATAAAATAAAAGAGTTGAAATAGGGCCAGCTGGTGGCTTGATGGTTAAGGGGCTGAATCCCATGTGGCTGACTATCCAGGTTCAGCCCTGCACCCTAAGGCTTGAAAAACACACGAGGAGCATGTACATGCATGCCCAAAATCCCAAGAGGAAAATAGAGCAAATGGATCACAGAATGGCCATCTCCCTAGGTGGTGCTTTCACACTTTCTCTGTCTCTGTCTCTATCTCTCTAGTGAGCACATGCACCCATAGTAAAAAACTGAAATAAAATTAAAAAAAAAAAAAAAGAAGAATTGAAATATATTATCAAGGCAAATTGCCCAGGAAATTACAAAAATTCTAAACCTACCAGAAAGACATGTGTTAAATATACTGCTGATTTGAAAAAAACAAGGACCCACTCTTAAAGCAATTATTTCAGCAGTACTGATATTCACAAACTTGAAAAAATGTAAAAAGATGCATCATAACAGCTCAGATTTTCCTAATTTTAGCCTAGTTAAAGATGCCAGAGGCTATGAATCTTTGTCCAAACTTAATAAGTTCAGGATCATACCTTTAACCTCAAATGTTAGAATTATTCTGGCTTCAGTTAGAAATAAGAGATTAAAGTTTTGGGTAAACTTAAGAGGACATCGATCAAAAGTCCTTTTCAAATAGCACGTCTCAAAACTTTTCTTATATTCCCCTCAGGCAGAGAAAGCATGAGCAAGGCAGAAAGCAAGAGCAAGAATGGTCTTCTGAACATACCATGCGTTTGAGGAAGTTCAAATGCTGAAATGTAACCCACTGCTTATTGACATTCCTGAAAAGACGCATAAACTTGTGAGGGGATTCCTGCATGGCTCTTCTTTCTAGATACCAAACACATCCTCCTACCCGACCTATAATAGAAAGAAGAAAAAGAAATGTTAAAATAATTACTGCTTCTGGGGCCAGATGGTGGCATAAGTGTAATGCAATTGGATCCACGTGGAAAAGTTATGGGTTCATGTCCTGAAAGCTCCCTCTACACGCCAGGGGTGCACATGTGTGAGACCATGCATGATCCAGGCTGGCTAAGATTGAGAGTAAATCAGGAATCAGCAGTTGGCGTAATGGCTATGTCGCTGGACTCCCATGTAGTCGACTGCGGTTCAAGTCTCAGACCCGGTGGCTTAAACTCACGCCGGGCGCGTGTGCCCGCGTGCCCAAGAGCCCAAGAGGAGAATGGAGGAGAAGGGAGTGCGGCGTGGCCATCCCCCCGGGGGGGTGATTTCTCACTTTCTGTCTCTGTCTCTCTCTGTCTTTCTGGCGAGCGTATGCGCCCTATAGCGAAAACCTCTCCAAAAAAAAAAGATTGAGAGTAAATCAATCCATAAAGATCTTGTTGGGAGTGCTTTTCTCTGCCTCTCTCTCATGGACAAAATAAATAAGTAAACTTCAAAAATGGCAATGCTCTTCACCAAATGATGACAACACTTACCCAAAGGCAAGGTCAACCAACAAGTTTAGTGCTACTTCTATGTGAGAACTCTGAAATGATCTAATCCAGATTTATAGATAAATGCAATTTATCAACATTACTCATTGTTAAAACCAGTGTTATTCTTCAGCAGGGCTAGGGAAAACTTTTTTCCAAGATCATTATGCTTTTAGTGTATTAAATGTTAAAATGACCATACTGTAGATCTTTTAAAGAAGACACTACAAAACAACTACTTCAGTCTTCTTTTTAAAGTAGAAAGTAAAAAGTACAATTTTCCTCAATAAGTGACAGTAGGTTGAAATACTTATATTTTAGGTTAATATTTGACCATATAGGATAAAATAACTAAAAACAAAAAGAAAATAGTTCTCAATCAATTATGACTCTTTCAACCTAGTTAGTAATAAGCCATTTTTGTTGTGCCCAAATTTGGCCATTAATCATTCTATTGATACTCTATTTTCTCTCAAATATGAACAAAGTCAACACTTCATCTCCAGCCTCATTCTATTCAAACCTTCAACAATCTGTGGAACACTGTAGATTTTCCCTTGTTAAGTCTATCTTCCTCGGGTCAGCAGGTGGCATGGTGGTTAAGGCACTGGACTCCTACATGGGGGACAGCGGACAGAGTCCTGGACCTGGTGGCTGGAAAGTTCACCAGCTGCATACGTGTGCATACCTAAAATTCCAGTAGGAGACTGGAAAAGAAAAGATTGCAATGTGGCCATCCCCTCCCTGGTGATTTCTCACTTTCCCTCTCATTGTCTCTGTGTCTCTCAATCACACACATCCTATGGCAAAAGACTAAAAAACTAACTAACTGACTAACTAACTAAATAAATAAATAAAAGGCGGTAAGTCTGTCTGCTCACAGTTTCCATGATACTGTAAGTTCCTGGTTCTCCACTATCCTCTTCTTAGTTTCCTTTCGAGTCTCCTCTTGCTGAGTCTATCACTTTAAGGTAATTGTGTCCCCACTTTTCTGACCACTGAGCAAATGCCATTACAGGGCAATTTCTAAGCTTCAGTCCATTTGAGGCATCATGTCTACTTCCAACTGCTCTCTTGTATCTTCTCCACATGAATAGGTTGCACTATCTCTTTACGAAAGACTTTATTCTTTCTTGACTCTTTACTGTCCTCTACTGCAAATAAAACCACTACCACTAAGATTTCAGGAGCATCTCGAACACTTCCTTTATCACCCGACAATCCCGTCCAGCCAACTCTGAAATAAAGGTCAGTCTGTTCACCTCTTTCCCTCTCTACTGATACAGACCCTTATCACCCTACATTGGACTCTGGTTAAGAGTAGCAGGCTTAATGTCAGTCATCATGCTATCAGTAAGGTCCTTTCTCCTCCAATTCACATTCCACAGAGCCAACAGTTTTCTCCCTGAGGTCCAGAACACCTACTACTCACCCAAGCATGTACACACAACCTAAAGAAACAATTTTGCCTCATCACCATCCATGAAGCAGAGGATGTGTTCCACAACTTGTTCAAATCTGCTTGCACTCCCCTCTGCCTATCAAATTTTCAAAGTCTTCAACTGCTTTATCACTTACACCATGTTTATGGCACTTCTTAATGTGAAGTGTTTCTAATTGTTTCACACCATGTTTTATAACTCCTTGATAGCAGGGATTCTCCTTTACTCAGCTTTACACAACTAGCAAAATACTTTCCATATAAGAGCAAAGTCATGTTTGATGACTGGATAGCTTCCTGGACTGTGAAAAGGAGAATTATCACTTCCCTTTGAAATACACAGCAATTATCAAACCAGTTTTTCACTGAAACTGTATTCTCAAAGCTCAGTTTATTATGACATGGTTGTTTTCCACACATATGAATACATGTTTGCCTGTACACACATACATGAAGGAATGGCAGCATTTCCTTTCTTTTTTTGTTTTGGAGAGGTTTTTGCTATAGGGTGAGTGCACTTGCCAGAAAGAGAGAGTTAGAGAGACAGAAAGCGAGAAATCACCCCCCGGGGGGATGGCCACACCACAATCCCTTCTCCTCTATTCTCCTCTCAGGACCTTGGGCACGTGCACACGCGCGCCCAGTGTGAGTTTTAAGCCACCGGGTCTGGGACTCGAACCGCGGTCAACTACATGGGAATCCAGCGACATAGCCATTACACTAACTGCTGGTCTCAGAATGGCAGCATTTCCTGAAACTTTCTTTGAAATCAGTTTTCTGACAATTCAAATTTTATTTATTTTTTGATAATGTGTATTTCTCTTTTTCTAACTTTAGCATCTTTCTTTAAGAAAGTAGTACTTGTTTTTAATTGTCAGATTGCACACGTATGCACCAGAGAGAAAGACAGAGAGGGAAGAGAAAGCACCTCCCAATGGTTGTACAGTCATGACATAATCCCTTTCCCTCCCTTTCTCCATCCTGTTAGGACTTGGGACACACATACACACCCAGTGATTTTATCTAAGCTGCCAGAGCCAAGATTCAAATTGCAGTCCACCATGTAAGATCCAGTTCCCTTAACCACTAGGCCGTGGGACTCCCCCAGAAAAAGCAGGATTTTACTATTAAAAGACTATGTCTAAGAAACATCAAGTCCTTAATTCTAAAACCAGTTACGAGTTTATATTGTACAATGAGAAGCATTTTATTCTTTTTAAAGAAAGATTTTTGCTAACGTGTGTGTGTGTGTGTGTGTGTGTGTGTGTGTGTGTGTGTGTATTCACCAGGAAGACAGAGATGGAGAGACACAAAGTGAGAAATCACCTCCGTCCGGGGGGGGTGGGGATGTGGGGGTGGCGAGGATGGCCACGCCACAGTCTCTTCTACTCCATTCTCCTCTCAGGATTTTGGGCATGCACACATACGCGTCCAGCGTAAGTTTCAAGTCACTGGGTCTAGGACTTGAACTGTGGTTAGCCAGGTGGTAGTCTAGCATCCCAACCACTACAACACCTGCTGGTCCCAAGAAATGTATTTTCTATGAGAACTACCTAGGAAAATATCTCTTAAGATCAAGTGGGCCAGGACCAGCCCGCTGACCCAGAGGTTAAGGAAGCCAGATCTTACATGGCTGACTGAGTGATTCAAGTCTTGGACCTGGCAGCTTGAGAACTATATCCCAGTATATTTCTTCTATATATTTGCATGTGTACATGCCCAAAAATCTCAATAGGAAGGAGAATGGGGAAGGGATTGTGGTGGCAAAACCACACCCCACTGGGACATATTTCTTTCCTCCCGTCTCTGACAAATTAAAAACAAAAACAAAAGGATTAAGTGGGCCACACTGAGATTTTACAAAAGGGTAGTGTTACCAGACAACTGTGTGGACGTGGCCTGATCGCATGTTGCACAGTAAGCCAATTTTCGAGACAATGAGAGTTTACTTAGAGGAACACTTTATTAAGGGACATATTAACTGGGAGAATGGTAGAGTCCAAGACCCTTAAAGTTCTGTCTCCATGACTGAGGAACAAGCAAGGATTTTAAACATAAATCAGGGATGTGAGGATGTGGGGGTCTGGGAGTAGGCATCCAGGGCTTTTCCAAAATGGTTTCTATGTCACCTGTAATGGACGGTGCTGTTTTCTTGGTGTCCAGCAGTCTCTAGGAGGGTCTAGAGCAAGATGTTAGTGACAAGCCTGTTCTAGGTAAAAAACTCAAGACAAAGAACCCTTAGGACATTTGGATCTTCAATCTTTATACGCTACTTATGATTATGTCTTGCAAAAGTTGCACAGTGAAGGCTATCACAATGTAGTCATTACAGGACCAAAATCACAGTGTTCAGATAGTATCTGTCAATCAGGAGAAAATAGAGCTTGAGCTCAGCTTATTATATAAAATAAATTACCTAGATTCTAGGCACATTTCTTTTCCTTTGCCTGGTAAATGTTACTTTCAAAACTAAACAAATAAAAAAATTATTTTTCAATTTTCAGGAGCCCAGTATCGGCAGTAAGGACCAAAAAAAAAAAAAAAAAAAAAACAGCTAGAAAACTGCACTTACAAATGATTAAAACAAAACAAAACAAAACAAAACAAAACAAAACAAAACAAAAAAAACCCTCCATTTTGCCAAAGCATATCACATCTCTAAAAGTGAGTGCCTAGAAACTGAAAGACATTTCAGGTCTATTTGAAGATACAGGGCTTATAATACATCCATTAAACAATCTGGAAACATGATCATATCCACTCTTCCCTATATGAATCATGACTGTAAGCAGACAGGGGGTTGAAAGGTCCTGAAAAATCCTTTTTTTTTTTTTTTTGGAGAGATTTTCACTGTAGGGCGCGTGCGCTCGCCAGACAGACAGAGAGAGACATAGAGACAGAAAGCGAGAAATCATCCCCCAGGGAGGATGGTCACGCCGCAATCCCTTCTCCTCCATTCTCCTCTCGGGATCTTGGGCACGCACGCACACGTGCCCGGTGTGAGTTTTAAGCCACCGGGTCCGGGACACGAACCGCGGTCGACTACGTGGGAGTCCAGCGACATAGCCATTACGCTAACTGCTGGTTCCCAAAAATCCTTTTTTTTAAGAGAGATTTTGCTATAGGGTGTATATGGTCTCCAGAGAGACAGAAAGTGAGTAATCACCCCCCAGGTGGGATGGCTATGCCACAGTACCTTCTCCTCCATTCTCCTCCCAGGTCTTGGGCATGTATGTACATATGCCCAGTGTGAGCTTTAAGTTGACAGGTCCGGGACTCAAACCATAGTCTACTATGTGGGAGTTCAGCTATGTAACTATTACTCTCTCTGCTAATCCCAGCCTGAAATTTTTTAATGGCTACAAAATACTTTGAACTACTATTAGTAAAATCAGACAGCACCATCAGACTCCTGATACAGCCTATTACCCTTCTCTGCCACCCCTTCCAACCATGTTGTTCTTCCTCATTAAAACTCTCTTAGTAAATCTGTTTTTTTTTTCTTTTTTGGAGAGGTTTTTGCTATAGGGCGCATGCGCTTGCCAGAAAGACAGAGGAGACAGAGACAGAAAGAGAGAAATCATCCCGCAAGGGGGATGGCCATGCTGCAATCCCTTCTCCTCCATTCTCCTCTCGGGATCCTGAGCATGCATGCACAACGCCCGGCGTGAGTTTAAGCCACCGGGTCCGGGACTCGAACCACGGTCAACTACATGGGAGTCCAGCGACATAGTCATTACTCTAACTGCTGATCCCTTAGTGAATCTTCAAGTGGGTCATAATAAGTTGAACAGACAACTTACTAGTACCTTTTTGGCAATCATGCTCACAGCTTCAGGAAGTAAGCCGTCTATTAATTCCATCTATACTATCACTGCAAAGACCGATGTAGTAAGGAACCACATGAGCCATATGCAGCTCATCTACTGGAAGTCGGGAATTCAGAGCAATCCACGTGACACTGCCCTAGAGGAAGCTGAAAATACAGAACTAGAGGAGAGAAAGACAGTCTGAGGAGGACAAAGAGGAGAAACCAGGACAAAGAGATAATAATTCAAATACTAAGGCAGGAAGAGCCCTGAGTGCCTAGGGTCATGATCAAAGAATATTCACAGTCAGGGATGGTAGAATGTAACAACGAAATTGGGAATAGCAGATGGTATAATAGTTCTGTTGCTAGTCTCTCATGCAGTTCACTGTTTGAGTCCCAGACCCGGCGGCTTAAAACTTATGCCAAGCACATGTGTGTGTGTGTGCCCAAGATCCCAAGAGGAGAACTGAGAAGGGATTGTGGCATAGCCATCCTCCCTGGGGGTGATTTCTTGCTCGCTGTTTCTTCAGCGAACATATACACACTCTATAGCAAAAAAATCTTTCTCTAAAAAAAGAAAAGAGGAATGTAACTAAGAAGTGATGGAAAAAGAACCAGGAGCTGTTTTAAAAATAAATTTTCAGGTGCCAGGTAGGTGGCATGGTGGTTAAGAGTGCTGGAATCCCACATGGTCCACCCTGGCTCCAGTCCAGGCCCAGGTGTCTTGCCTTCTCACTTTCCTTCTCTCTCTCACTATGTCCCTCTCTGGTTAAATTAAAATAAAAAATAAATAAAGTTAAAATAATTCTTTAAAAAAATAACTTTTCATTATAGAAAACGTATGACATGCAAAAGCAGAAGATTACAATGAGCCCCCATTACTTAACGTTCAGCTTCAACAATTACCAAACCTTGCCAATCTTATCTCATCTATACCCCCTCCCACCCTTCACACCAGTTTTTAAACTAGACTGTGCCTTTGTGATTTTCTACTTCAATTATGTCATTTTATAGGTCAATAAATTCAAATCCACAGAAAGTCTATGATTTGCCCTGAGACCTTGAGACCTCCGAGAGACTCATAAAGTAACTTTATGAGAGAGACAGAAGAAAAGAATTTCTAGGAGTATAGTCATCACCATTGCCAGACACTGTGGAAAGCTATATGGTGGGTGAGGCCTGAAAATAAAGTTTCTGGGATGGAACCCAAAGGCAGTCCCTGACTTTGGTCTCTAATAAGAATCACCAGCAATACATTTTACTACAGTCATTAGTTATGACCCTAAAATAATTCTCAACCTCATCTTTAAAATCGCCAACGGGCCAGATTTCATTCACTCACAAATAATTAGAGCCAACAATGTACACCTGTACACTGTAACCTCCTATTTGAAAAGGTGATATTGGATCCGACCTTACGAAGAGCAGAAAAGAACACGCCAGTCTCTAGATACATCTATAACTGGTCCTTAAAGTGAGAAGATGATACCAGGCACCACGCTGATGACACCAAGCCCAAAGTCTGTGGCCCCCTGCAGTTGGCATCATCCTTATGGTCAGGACTGGAACAAGGTTTCTGAGTGGGAGCAAAGTGCTTCCTCTGTCATTATAAAACAGCGACTCGGAACTGAGGCTCCGATAAACCAAAAGGTTTGTGATGTCATGAGATTTTACACAGCCTTCTCCAGCTTCCACAATCTCAAAATCGAAAGCACCAGATACCAGCCCTCCACCCCGACCCCGGGGGAGCAGAATGAAAGGGGCACTGGGAACCATCAAGGTCACGGTGCAAGAGTGGAGCCTAGCTCCGTGGCCTCTTCACTCTGAGCTACTCCAAAGGTCACTACCCCTACCGGTGACCAACCGACCTCGCCAAGGGCTCCCAAGGTTGCAGCCAGCCATACCACGGCCTCGCACGCGACTGAAAGGTGAGATTTTCCCCCCAAGCCCGCCCCCAAGGCAGGTGCAGTACCTGTCAGGAGGCGTGCGGAGAAAGTGTGAGGGCATGCGGCCATAACGCTGGAGTCTGGCCGCGCCCGGGGATCCCTGTGTCCTCGCTCCTCACCGGCTGCTGGGCGCCGCCATCTTTTCCCGCCCCCTGAGAGAGGAGAGCCGCTTCCGGTTCGTCACTTCCGGCGGGCGGACAGCGGGAGGAAAACGTGTGCGGCTGGAAGTGATCCCGAGAGATGTGGCAGGAGACTGCCAGGCCTTAGGGTCCGAGGCCTGAGGTGTGTTCGGGAGACGCTAGAATCCGGTGTGGCGACGTCCTCCTGTAAAAACGCCGAGCGCGGACGGCGTTCTTGCGCCCGCGACCCGGAAGATGAGGCACCCTCTGACCCGATCCCATCCCCGGGGCCGGATGCTGTGGGCAAGGCTGGCGCCCGAGTGCTTATGGCGGATCCAGAGTTCAGTTAGAACACCTCCGGTGACCCCGGGGCCGGGAGGAGCCGCCTCCACTGCCCATCTGATTGTGGCAACGCCTCCGCCTCCCATCTGGGTAGTTATAGCTGCAGCTTTACCGTCTCCGCTGCCTCATGGGAGCCCGGGTGAACTCGAGGTTGGTCCCTGAGCCACATCTGAACCCTCAGAATGTCTCCAGATGAAGAAGGTGCGTGTAGTGGCTAAGATTTGGGGCTCTGGGGCGAGGTCTGTATTCAAGTTCTGGCCTTGTGACCTTGTTTGAGCAGATTACAGCAGTCCTCCGAACCTCGGTGACCTAGTTGTACAACGGGACTCAAAACCGTGTGTCCTACGAGGTGCTTGAGAGAATTAAATAATGCCGACCGCGCATAGGCATAATAAGTTATTATTGTCAGTAGTGCTGTGATTACTAAAGCAGATTTCAGCAGCACACACCCACCCCCCTCGCGTTTCTCATGTTGGGGTTCCAAGTAAAAATACACTGAAGAAAAGATTCAGCTTTTGGAAAAGAAGGAAAAAAATAAGTAGCAAGATTTCGAAGGACAATCTACATCATTTCCAAAGATGAGATGATAGCGATTTTGATTCATCTCAACTCACATTGCTAGGCTGGTGGGGATGCTGTGAAAAATAAGACACCTCCCCCGTTTTGTAGGAGTTTACACTGCCAGTGAAGGAGTAAGGAGTTGTTATTACTTGGAGTAAGTGTGATGGGGTAACTGAGCAAAGGCTGCCGAAACCCAGATGAGGTAACACAGTTCCACGTGGGTGGATTAGGGAAGTCTTCAGAGATTTAAACTTGGTACTCCACAAAAGGAACAGTTTTTGATTTTCCCAACATTCCAGGAAGGGAAAGGATACTGTGACAGAAAAACAAACTCCAGCATTAAATACTGTGTTAAAAGTTTTCAAACTCTTTAGGATTGTCCACATGCTGTTAAAAACATTCAAAGTTTATATCCAGAGCAAAAGTTACCCTTTCATGAGTGGCACATAAAGGCCCCAAACATTTTAAGTAATCTACCCCAAATCATCCAGCTACTTAGTGCCAGAACCATGACCAGAACCCCTGGCATCTGATGCAGTGTTATTTCCACCATGCCATATGTAGCTTGAAAGGTCACAGCTTCTGTGATATAAAAAGTATGGTGTTTCAACTCTGACTGCCTATCAGAATCAGCGATAGCATTTTAAAAAATTAGAGATGATTGAACTACCTCCAGACCTATTAAATCAGAAGGGAGCAGGTGTATGGATAGGGATCTGTAATTTTCTTTTTAAAGCGCCACAGATTATTTTGATACATGGAACTGTGAATACTGGGAAAGCTCAATGTATATGTTATATTCCATATATTCTAAAATATGAATTCCCAAGATCTCTAGGTTTATAATAAATAGGAACTTAATAGACATATAACTCCTTGGCAAACAGATTTTTCCTTTATTTATAAATTAGGACAAGGCATGACCAAATATGTAATGAATGCATAGCTTTGTATTTATTCAGAGAAGCCAGAGTAAATGTTTTATGTGAAAAACACCTAAAAGATGAACATGTTCTGGCTTTATTGGTCAGGAATACATTCATCTACTAATATTTGTACTAAAGTTAGCCAAGGAACCATACCATACCAAAAAGTAATTCGTTGAGATACTGTTGGAAAGAAGGGGGTCCCTGGTTATACACATAGACTCAGACTTCTTATGGCTGCAAGTGGGGGAGAGAATAATAGCATTGCAGTGATCAGCTTAGGCCAGTCACAGTTCTTCACTGTAGACCTAGCATATTGCTGTCCAGAATCAAATTAATTTTAGACTAAGAAAGAAGTCAGGGATGGATTTTGCATAAATGACTAAAAGATTCAAACCACAACTTAGTTCAACCCTCTATTTTCCAAACAGTGTGAATACCATTATTTTATGAAATTCCTTGAGAACTTGGGAAGTTTTAATTCTTTAAACCATTATTTTTTTGCTAAAGACATTACTTTTATTACATCATAATTTTAGAGAGTTTAGTTATTTTATTCAGTTGTATGTTAATATGATCACTAACTACAGTTATGACTTGTTTACGTATTTTAAAACATGAATGTAAGTAATCAGTGGTAAAGATTTGTACCTGTCTCTTAAAGTAAATATTAAAAAACTTAACCTAGATACTGACTCTTTGTATTATTTTCCTTAAAGTTTTGGCACTCAGTTCAAAACTAAGCTGTGTTCTAGTCCCACCGTGTCTGATGAGATACCACTTCATACCCAGTCAGATGGCTATAATCAGAAAGTAAAATAACAACAATTAGCATGCATATGGAGAATTAGAACATTAATACATTGCTTATAGGAATAGAAAATGTGGCCACTTTGGAAAACGGTTCAACTGTTTCTCAGTAAGTTACACATAGAGCTGTATGACCCAACATTTCCTCTCCCAGGGATATACCCAAGAGAAGTGAAAATAGGTTTCTACACAAACATTTGTACAAGAATATTCTTAATAGCATTACTTACAAGAGTCAAAAAGTAGACATAGGTCTAGGTCCATCAGCTGATCAATATATAAATATAAGTGGTGTATCCATCCCGTGGAATATTATTTGGCCATTACATAAGAATAAAGTGCTCAATCGTACCATGACCATGAAAAGATAGCGAGTGGAGGAAACCCAGTTACAAAAGACCTCATATTGGATGGTTCCATTTCTATGAAATGTCCAGAATAACAAAATCCAGAGACAGATTACCTAGATCTTGGAGAGAGGATAGAGGGAAAAAGAGTGTCTACTAATAGGTACAGGATTTACTTGGTCAGGAGAGGATGAAAACGTTCTAAAATTGATTGTGATAATGGTTGCACAACTCTGAATATACTAAAAATTGAATTACGCACTTTAAGTGGGTGAATGAATTATATGGAATGTGATTATCTCTCAATAAACCTGTTAAATTACCCCCCCCCCCAAAAAAGTCATAAAAATCCCTAAGGGTAAAATCAAGGAAACCAAAAGTGACAATGCCATGTTGGACAGACTCGTCATCATCTAGCAATAGCTCTCCTTTCCTCATGTAGATAACTGTCTAGCATAAAGGCATGTTTCAGCCTCCCTTGCCGCTTGGCATGGCTTGGTGACTAATTCTGGATAGTGGCACACAAGTGTAAGTCATGTGTTTAATTAACTTCTTTAAGATTTGTGTTATAGGGTGTGTGTGCTTGCCAGAGAGAGAGAAAGTGAAAAACCACCTGCAAGAGGGATTGACCATGCTGTGGTCCCTTTTCTTCCATACCTCTCTCAGGGTTTGGGGCACATGTGCCCCGGCATGAGTTTCAAGCCACAGGGTTTAAGATTCAAACTGTTGTCAGCCATGCAGGAATCCACTACCTTAACCACCACTATGCCACCTGCTGGCCCCAATGTATTTAACTTCTTTTTTAAAAAAAAATTTTTTTAAGAGATTTTTTTTGTTAGCGGGTATGAGCACCACACAGAGACAGAGAGACAGAAAGAGAGAAATCACTCACCCCAGGGGGGATGGCCATGCTGCAGTCCCTTCTCCATTCTCCTCTTGGGATCTTGAGCATGCATGCACACACACATGCCTGTTGTGAGTTTGAAGCCACCTGGTCTGGGACTCAAACCACAGTTGACTCTGTGGGAGTCCAGTGATGTAACTATTATGCCATCTCAATGTATTTAACTTACAAGTGCTCTTAGCACGAGGGATCAAATCCTTTCATGCTGACTAGAAAGCTGATGAGGTGGCTGGAACTTGAAAAACATTTTGGACCATGAGAAACAAGATAGATGACTTCTAGATTCCTACAGCATGTGGAACTGCAGTGTTAGATCTAGACTGGTTTGATGAGAAATAAATTTCTAACTTAATAGTGTTACTATTTTTTTTTTGTCATTTACTGTACTTAATCTAAACCGATATACTTTTTTTTTTTGGAGAAGTTTTTGCTATAGGGCACGTGCACTCACCAGACAGACAGACAGAGACAGAGAGACAGAAAGCGAGAAATCACCCCCCAGGGGGGTTGGCCACGCTACAATCTCTTCTCCTCCATTCTCCTCTCAGGATCTTGTGCACGCATGCACACACGCCGGAGTGAGTTTAAGTCATCGGGTCCAGGACTTGAACTGCAGTCGACTACATGGGAGTTCAGTGACATAGCCATTATGCTAACTGCTGGTCCCACCAATATACTTTTAATGGAACTAGAGATTCACAGTAAAGATATATGAGCTAATGTGCCTGGCTCATAGCTCAAAAAATGATAGGCGTTACTATTAAATGACTCCATAAGCTTCAGTAAGCAGCTGAAATAAAATGTTTATAGTTTTTAAAAACCTTTTCAGAGGGAAAATTTAAGGGCTGTAATATTTTGAAAATGTAGTGAAGCACTTTTATGAAGTTTATGGATCTCAGAATCTAAAGAAAGCAAATCTCTTTTTCTTTCTTTTTTTTTTTTTTTGAAATAAGAATTTGTATATGCCTCCTATGCTATTTAGTAATGAAGGCAACTTGAGTTTAGACAGTTGGTCCCAATTTGTCTGACAAAATTTGTGATGTGGAAAATGGGAATTATTTCACAGATGGTTCTAAAGACCATCTGACTTCCTTATTCCCATTTTTCACCATACTAACTTCTCGCTTATAATTTGTTCACCAGAGTAGATTCTGCTTAATATTCTGAGATGAAGGCACCCTCTTCTCTTCTCAAAGAGAAATGTCAATACAGATAGTTTAAAAATAAGGATATTCATGGACTTGCTTCTAAGAGAGTCAATCCCTTGGAGAGATGACCAAAAGAGATTAAAATATGTTTTCTTTGGGAGAGGTTTATGCTATAGGGTGCATGTGCTAGCCAGAAAGACAGAGAGAGACAGAGAGATAGAAAGCGAGAAATCCCCCCCCAGGGGGAATGGCCACTCTGCCATCCCTTCTCCATTCTCCTCTCGGGATCTTGGGCATGCACGCACACGTGCCTGGTGTGAGTTTAAGCCACCGGGTCCAGGACTCGAACCACGGTCAGCAACATGGGAGTTCAGCGACATAGCCGTTACGCTAACTGCAGGTCCCTAAAATATGTTTTCAATGAACATTTTCATTGAGGAGTCAATCTCTTGAGATTCCTGGCTTGTAGATTTTCCTTGCTCTCAGGATATACTCAAAATTCCTACCCTTTATCTTTGAGGGTTCTTCCCCTGGTCCTGTGATGGTGAGAATGGGTGTGATAAGACTGGCCTGGGTATTTCTCTTGCTTGAGAGACTCTTTTGTTTTGAAAGAGACCCTGAAAACAGGAGACTGCTCAGGCTTCTTCTAGTAAGACCCACCAGAACTAGCCCTGCTCCCAGCATAAGGGCTTCACCAATGGGTATAGGGTCAGGCTTTGTGTGATAATAAGCATTGGCTTTTATCTGGCCATTCCCTCCATGGAGGCCTAATGAAGATAGCCACTACTATAGTAGGTAGGAAACTTTGGTGTA